CCGGAACTGTTGACTAAACTTAGAAGAAGTATCTATGCCACCGTGGGGTGGTTTGGTTTAGAGGTTAGGGTTTTGTTTTAGTAACTACGGTTCCGGTCATGTGACTTCTTTGTTCAATACTGTAAATACTGTGTCAGTGTAAATTACTTGTACTTGGTGATGACAAAACCTTGTCGAAACGTTGTACATTTGCTGTTATGTTAAACTTATAATAAAGTTTTTCTTCATTACCCATTAAAGCCGTCTCCAACCATTTTTAGTCTCAAAGTGGGTTCCTCGTCATCAAGAATAGCTAGAAATAGTTTGATGTAAAGAATTAATACTTTTTACAATAGAAAAAAAATGGAAGATAAAGTTGCCACTGACACCTATTGTTTTGGAAATCTTAAAACTAATTCTAACTATTTTTTATTCACAACAACTTTTCACCACAAAATATTACACAGCTTCTTGGAGTGAATGTAATAAATAATAAAAATAACACAAAACCCTGGGAATCATTTCTTTATCAAATTAGCAAGAAAATAATTTAAGATACAACAGTATTCCTCTGTTGAAACAACAAATTAAAGTAAATACAAATAACTACCTCTCCCTTTTGGGCCACGTTTTCCTTTCTTTCCTTTTCCTCTAAGACCAGGACCTTTACTTGTGGGCAGTAAAATTTCAATTTCCTATTAAAAACAGTAATGTAAAATAAAAAAAATTACATTATAAAATACTTACATTTATAAGTGTGACTAACCACCACATGAAGCAATTTTGTTCAAACATTTCTCCTTATCAACTCTACCAAAGTATTGTTTACAAATATCAATCATTTGTTAAAGATGATCAGGGAATCTTTCATATTAACATAAGTTTAATCATACTTGGTACCAGTTTAAAGTATCAACCACTCTTTTGTATGCATTTGTCACTGAAAAAATAACAAGACACTAAATATTATATTTGTCAATAAATTATAGCCAAAAAAACTCAACAATCAATCTGAAAAATGCTATGTAAAACATCATCTAAATAATTCTTGTACCACTTTCAGAACACCTCTGTCATTAAATATGAGTTTAAAATATATTAAGGAAACTTAAGTTAAATGAAACTTTTATTTTTTGCTAATAAACTAAAAACTTAAATATTTTTAACAAAATCTGTATAGAAAACATTTTCTTTGAATGAGATAATTTATTCAAAACTACTAGCTTTTTTGCAAATATCAGTCTTAAAAATCACAATGTGTGTTAATAAATGTAATTGTAACACATGCATCACTTGTTTGAATTTAAAAAACAATTAAAAACTTAAGCTTTACCAATTCATAGTAAATTAAGTTCTTTCAACCATAAATTCTCAGACTAGATGCTTGTAATAATCTTATTTGAGAGAAATATTAATCATCAGAAATTTAAAATATTTGTATATTAACCCTTTCCTTGTTTTAGGTCATTTAATAGTTTTTATGGATACACTTATTTGACTACTTATCCTAATAGGCATTAATGAAGCATACCCTTCTAGTATTATTAAAAAGAGAGCAGAGTAGAGTTTTATTAACTAAAAATCCTAGGTATGCATTTTCTCTTGAGTGAAAGTAACTTAACCTATCATCATTCACATGAGCAACACATGTAATGCTCATATGAAGCTGTTTTCTAACCTCACACATTGAAACAAACTAAAACAACCAGTTACTATCACCACGTTCACAATCATCAGTTGCATAACAAATAAACATAATATATATAACACACGTGTCTACAGATGGAGAACCATGAATTGTATATCATTAGGGCAAATGTGGTCCACCTGGGCACAAAATATCCAAGAGAAGAATCTTGGAATATGTTGTATTATGCCAAGTGTGGTCCATTAGGACAAAAACATCCAGAGGAAGCACCTTATGGTATGTTGGACATTGCCCAGTGCTGTTGATCTGGGCAGAAAACATCCAGTGGAAGTGCCTTGCATTGGCAATTTTTGATCAACAAGTATGGTCTGCCTGGTCCAAAACATCTGGGGGAAGCACCTTGGATGTTGAATATTATGTTATTGTATAATCATTGTTTGGTAATAAGTATAACAATGAGAGCCTTCCTCTCACCGAGTGGGTACACATGATATATAAAGTCTCAGTTTGTTTGTTATACAAAACCCATTCAGGAGGAAACCTCCTCGGTCCACCATTTCAGTTATTGGATACTGAAAATGGCAAGACTCCCATGCTCCACTAGAAGAGAAGGGTGGGGGGATACACACTGGAGAGTCTGGAAGGACAAGACACCCAAAACAGTGCAATGGGTGCAGTCCAGAACTGAGATAGCTTTAGATGAGAGGAGGTAAGACCGTTTTGGAAGCGCCTGGGGCTGTTATTAAGCTTCATGCTGATACTAATTGTGTTTATAAATTATCATAATTAGTAACTAAAACTATAAAAATATTAATCTAGGAATGGAAAGTTAATATGAACTAGCGATTTGTATGATGTTTTTATACAGACACAGTGAAACAACAGTCTTCTCGATGCAATTATATCTTCAAAATGTGGCAACATTTTTAAATTTTAAAATAATTTAAGCCATTACATTTCACATGTTTTAATACAGTGTATTATAATCTTTTTTGGGCTAAAAAGAAAATGACGGTTTTAGTCAGTACTCAATAAGACAGAGTTGAAATCTTATCGAAAAATTTATGCTGTAAAATCATATAATTTACAAAAATTATTATTTTCAACTGTATTGTTAAGCTAACACCACATTTTATGGTATTAGAAATTACACTTCTTTATCTCTCTTTCAATAGGCTTGATCAATTCAGCTGAGTTTGTGTCCCCACATTAACGTTTAAGGTTTCCATACTATAGCTTCTAATATGTTTTGTGTATCTTCATGAAATTTCACAAGCTTTCAGTAAACATTACAAGTCTTTTATACACAAAAAAAAAACAATTTTTTAATTAAATATTTATAAAAAAAAGATTTATCTGTGAATATATGGAGTCAGAGTGTTGACTGGTCCAAATGAAAAGTGATTTTCATGTTAATATTAAAAATATTAATCTGAAAATTTTCAAATTTCATTTATGTAATTTTTAAGCCTCTTGTTACCAGCATCCTCTCCTGTGCAGTTCACAAGATTTTACTGAGTTACATTCAAAATTTAATGAAACTATTTTCTTATCGTAGTACATGAATAAACTTGGAATGAAAACGTAGCTAATAATTCAAATTCTAATATGATATAGGTTTTAAGTAATTTACGTTAAATTTCATACTTCTCTTAGGGGTGGTAAATAAATTAGAGAAGAGGTAAGACTTATAGAGCAAACATAACAATTCTCATACTAAGGGAGATTGAGGATTTTTAAAATATTTCCTTATAAAATTAAGAATTTCAAACTTATATAATATTAAAACTATGTTTAGATGCCAAGTATACTCGCATACATTGATAATAAAGTAGTTTAAATAAATTTTGAATGTAACTCTAAAATGTGACATGCACACTTTGACCTGCCCGTAACAAGTTTGTCAATAAACTTACACAAAATTCAGTTATTTATCATCAATAACCACAAAAATAGTTAAGATAGAACTCTTAATATTAAGGCTTCACTATATCTCATAGAAAATGTCACATTTTGACTATTTGAAAATGTTCAAGTTAATTACCTCTTGAGGCATTTCAGCTAGTTTGGTCAAAAAAAGTTTTTCCAAAGCTTCAGCCATAAGTACAATATCCTGCAAAGGTATTAAATACAACTCCAATCAATGCACTTAAGCATCTCAAGTTCATATTATAATAGTCAGTATATGTTTTATGCTCTCAGGATGCATTACTCTTAACACACACACAGTCTGTGTTTAAGTTTACGATTAAAACCATATTTAATATCTGTATCCACCAAAAAAATTTATAGTTTTTACAACATAATCTATTTAAATATTCATCTAAACATCACTTTTTTTATTTCCACTATATTTTCAAACTAGGTGTAAATGCACTAATACCACTAATCATACACTTGCAAGAAAAGTTTAATGTAAATTATACACACTAAAATTCTGAATATATTATTTGAATATAAGTTCATATGAAATGCAGCAAAAACAACAGTAAAGAATACTGATACCTGTAAGATATAAGTGATACAATGAAAGGTCATTTAATAGATAAAAAACAAATAATATAGATATACAATATATATATATATATATATATATACTGGCATAAATGCTGAAGACAAATTTCTCGTTATAGTGTGATTACTTATTTTGTGAAATAAATAATAAAGAAACAAAATAATTAAAGATGACTCTTGAGTAACATCTGTGTACTCTATAGAACAAGTATGTGTAAAATCTTGCTTTCATGTCAACAGTTATGGGTGTATTGCATAACAGCATAGCATATAACTATGTCATAGTGGTTTTTATTTCATTTTGAATGGTAAATTTACCAAACAACTAATATTATACTCATAAAAGTTTAATGAATGAGATATTAATTTTTATGAAATTAAATGAAACAAATAGCCTCAAGGCTGAATAGGGTTATAAAAGAGCCCTATTCTGCATCTTATTTTTAATATAGCCATAACATATAAATATATGAATAAATGAACTGCAATTTGATAAGCTAAAAACATTGCATAAGAACATCTGCAGATATGCATGAGCAATTTACATTTTGTAAATACAAAGTAAAATGCAGAAAACTGTAATCAGTATACAGGGTAATGAAAGCTTTGTGCAATACTACTGGATTAAAAATTATAATCGCTGTAATTTTATGTATTCTTATTTACCCTACCAATTTCCAAGTTACTTCTATCAGTTTTTTTTAAAGGTGTAATTACAAAATGTCTAATATAACCATAAAATGTGGATACAGAATTCATAGGTTTCTTACATCCATTTTTAAAAAAACATCACAAAACTATGAATTCTGTATCCACACATTTTTCATGATACTAATATAGCTGAAGTGTGGCATCCATTTTTAAAAAAAACATCACAAACCTATGAATTCTGTATCCACATTTTATGGTTATATTAGACATTTTTCATGATACTAATATAGCTGAAGTCTTACATCCATTTTTAAAAAAACATCACAAAACTATGAATTCTGTATCCACATTTTATGGTTATATTAGACATTTTTCATGATACTAATATAGCTGAAGTCTTACATCCATTTTTAAAAAAACATCACAAAACTATGAATTCTGTATCCACACATTTTTCATGATACTAATATA